TAAAGGGTACGTGGCAGCGTGGGAGAGGCGCCTGTGACATGCGTTGCAACTGCAAGGTCTAGGATCACTCTACGATGGCTCCTCGGGAGCGCGATGCGGCGACCGAGCCGGTCAACGGAGCGACCAAGCAGCCTGCGTCACTGGCCCAGAGCACGCTCATGTCGGTGTCGGTCCCTCGGCACTGGCTGCGATTTGGCATGGGTTATCGCGCGCGAACGGTGCGCTTCTCCGACGGCAGCCTCGTGCAAGACGCGCATTTACGCCACTTGTCGCGCGTTCAAGAGCTCGAGCTCCGCGAGTGCGACTACATCACGTCTATTCAAGGCCTCACGAGCTGCACATCGCTCACCTTGCGCTCCTGTGACCAAGTGACGGCCATCCGCGATCTCCCACAGTTGCAGTCACTCGACATTTCGGATTCTTCGTACGTGCAAACTTGCTACCACTGCGTTCACATCGTACGTCTGTAGGTCAGTGTATCGTATTGAGGACGTACCAGCTCTTACAACGCTCTTGCTGGGAAACGCCAAGCCGTCCGTCCTGCCGTCGCAGGTCCAGACCCTCTCGACGTCCGCCGCCGTTTATCTCGCTGCGAGCGCCTCGAGCCCTTCGACGTATGCTTCGCTTGCGCTCAAGCAGTGCCACGAGAGTATCCAAAACGATGTCTTCGCCGCAGAGGTGCACCTCACATCCTGCGACGCGGTCACCCGCCTCGACGCCTTCCGGTTCGCATCGACCATGACGCTTTCTCGGTCGCGCGCCCTGGAGCAGACGGCATTCGATGCACTGCGTCTGCTTCAGACGATACGCCTTCAAGCCTCGACCTGTCTTACGTCTGTGACCGCCTTGGCGCGCTGCATCAGCGTCCACTTGTCCCTCTGCGTCAACCTCGCCGATGTCTCTCCACTGCGGCACTGCCACTCGGTATCAATTGCTACATTCATGAAAGCAAGCGTCTCATGCGAGTGCAGGTCGAGCTCTCGTGTTGCCCGCAAGTCCATGACGTGAACGCACTTAGCACCGTCTACGACCTCGCGCTCAACCGGTGCGCCGACATAGAGTCGCTCGATGGCCTCGCGCACAACCACACGCTGCGCGTCGCCGAGTGCTACCGCGTCTCCCACGTCGGCCATCTCCACGACCTCCATACCATCGAGCTCGTCCGCTGCCACCGCGTCGTCGACACAGACCTGCTGTGCGCCGGAAGGCCATTCGCAGTGACGCTTCAGAGCTGCAACGTGACGCATGTCGACGCATGGGCAGGCCACAAGACGCTTCATACGCTCGACGTCAGCGGCAACTTCGACTTGGCCGATGTTGCGTCATTAGGGTATCTCCACACGCTGCGCGCCAACCGACGGCTGTGGTCGACTTGCGCCGT